TATGTCTGCTAAGTAATTACTTGTAATGCAGGAAATAATCGAATATCTTTTTCAATAGCTGCTACTTGTGCTGCTCCATGTTCAAATAATTGTCTTGTTATACCTCCTGGTCCAGGTCCAACTTCAATTACAAATTCTAAATAACGAAAGATTTGAAATCAATATTCATATAACAAGAAAGAACAATCTTTTTTTTTCTAAAAATATATATTACCTCTCCATGTACATACTATTTTCAATATTGCCTGCACATGCGACAAATTTACTTGTTCCACGAGGATCTAACAAAAAATTTTGTGCAAATCGACGTAAAGCTGGTAATTTATATGTACGAAGTAAATCCGCTGCACTTGGTGTAGGTGGTAACATTAATTTTTGTATATAACCCATAATAAGTTTTCTATCTATAATTCACAAATTTTCTTTGTGCGTAATGTATTTTGAAAATTGTCTTTATTAAGTTTATTATAATTCAAAACTGATAAATAAAATGATTAGCAAAAGAGAAAAGCACGAGACAAAGAAAAGAAAATGATAAATAAAATTATGAAATAATTTGTTCAAGTGATGATACTGATGATGTTGAAAGTTTGATCATACGTTGATAACGAGCAGCTCGAAATGATGTTAATGCACCAAAAATACTTAAGAAAATCATACAAGTAAACATAGCTGACCAACCATATTGAGCAACAATCCAAGCAATAACTGGTCCTTCAAGAAATGTACCAATAGAACCAACACCTAAAATAATAAAATTCAAAATTTAAATTCTTTTATCGATCTTCAATAATTCATACATTTAAGAAAAAAAAGAAATCTCAAAATATCTATTCATTAACATCATATCAAGTCATTTTTTTGTTCAATCTCTATTCATGTCAAATAGTATTTACGGAATTAATATTCTTATCAATGATCCATACTCAAGTACCATCATTTTGTCATGGTTATATTATTACTTGAAATCTATATGTCTACTAGATTTAATTCAATACTTTTCTTTTTGCTATGAGATTGATTACAAAATATTCAATAATATCAATCAAGTATATCTACATATAATAATAGTAAAGTATTTCTATTCATTGGCTTATATAGTACGATCTCGATATTAGTTATTTTCAATCGTCATGAGAAATGATTAAATGACGCTTGATAGTATTACATATAATCATCATCTATCAATCATACAATATTTAAAAAAAATCAATGTAATTTGTCAGTTTTCATTGAACAATCATAAATTAAAAGGTGTAAAACATTGTGATTGTATTCTTCAATAGAATCATATCGATATTAGTTTATGTTGTAAGTTTAAAAATGAGAAAGCAACTTCAATATTATATATATTTCTTTTGAAATATACTACAGTATGTATTGCGATTTGCATTGTGATTGAATTATGAAGTGTATTATAAAAAAAGAAAAAAAATCATTGAAATTTCACACGTTTTTCTTTTTTTATATACTTCTCAAGGTATCAATAGAGAATTATGGGTTTTATTTTTCTTCTTTTCTTTTTCTCCTTGCATTTTCTTTCTGATTTACGTCACTTTAGAATTTTCAAAAGACAATAATAATTGTATATATTCTTATGAATCATTTTTCGCATTTTTTTTTAATATCAATAAGAAAAAAAAGCGTTGCTTGTGATTTTAAGTTAACAAAGATTTCTATAGACATTGCTTATTCTAACTTTTCTGATGTTGTCTTAATTTTCTTGTCAGATTCTTTTTTCCTCAAACATTGCATACCATTGTAAACATCGTCCATAATTAAGTGATCTTTCTCTCGTTTTCCCATATGCTGTGTATTGGAGGTGATGGTGTTGTAATAAAAAAAAAATGAGCGAAAGGCGAGTCAAATATTAGCCGACAGAGAGACAGAGAGAGAGAGAGAAAGAGAAAGCACCGTTTTATGCTTTGTTCGTATTATCATCCTTTACGTCTTTTTCTCCGACGAGATGTATGCCTTTAGGGCATCTTTCTTTTCTTTTTATTGAACATACCTACCGTCTGTTCGTAGGATTATATATCGGCTCGAACGTGTATATATCTACGTTCATTCATTTTTCATGATCACCACCATCTGCTCACACCTGCATAAAAAAATACTAGTCTTTTTGTCTTTCTCTCTTCTTCTTCTTTCTCTCTTTTTGTGTTCGCTTGCTTGCTCACTTAATTGCTGATACGTTTTTCCAGAAACAACATTGCCTAGAAGGCAAATCCCGGAATATCGACTGTGTGTGTGCTATAGGCGATTGACAACATAAAGAGAGAAATTCTTTCTTTACATGCACTGCACTTCTTCTTTTGTTTAAACTGATGTTTGTAGCTGAATTGTATGTAATGTAAAAAAAGCCGAGAGTGCTGCTGCTCCTTGCTGGTCGGATGAAAGTGATGAAAAAGTGTCGATAGAGAGAGAAAAACGAACAAAAAAATCTCTCAATATCCATATTCTTATTGCTCTTGCGTCGTTTTCTTGTTGATAGTATTGGCAGCTGCAGAATAGAGAGTAACAGAGTTTCAATTGTTTGCTATAGCGACTGACTGCAGATGCAGACAGAAGGAGGAAAGAGAGTTTCGTTTGACTATTACACTTTCGATACTTTTTTTACAAGCCAACATGTGCGACGCATATACAAACAGCAAGTGTACCACTGCTATCGGAAGAGGTACTGTGCACACATACAATTAATTAGAGCACGAGAACGAAGGTGAGTCTCGCGATCAGTAACAAATATGGACATAGGTAGAGAGAAGAACGCTCATATATATATATATTTTTATATATATAAAATATATATATATATATATTTGTCTGTCTTTCTTTCTTTTCTCTGGCACTAAGCTAATGAACATTGTCGCTCGATATTTGCGCCCATAACAATGCCGTATATCTCAATGTAAGGAAGAAAAAAAACGAGAAACAGAGAAGGAGAGAGAAAATGATCTATTTGACAAAAAAAAAGCAGACAGGCAGCAGCAATTTGATGTTGACATGCAGTTGACCTATAATCATCGTAAAAAACGAGAGAGAGAGAGAGAGGGGGAGAGAAAGAAACAGAGTAGCGTCCATCATTATCAGCAACTAGAGATCTTTTCTATTTTTATTTTTTTTCTATAGCAAAAGAAGAAAGAGATGAGAGAACACAGAAGAAATTACTCGTCGGCCCGTTATCATTTGGCAGATCGAATTTCGCACGCTCCATCAGAAGGTGGTGTATCCTCTTCGTTACATTTTATGTTTACATTCGTTTCGTAACATACATAGGTAAATGCTCGTGTGCAAGCGCCATTGCTACTCGATCGGAGAAGAAGAAGAAGAAGAAGAGGGATATCTTTATATTTGACATTAAGTCAAAATCGAAGGTTGTTGTTACTCTTCTTCTTCTTTTCATTGATTTATTTTGTTATCGCTATCAATCGAATGCTTACGAACGGGAACGAGAATAAAGGTATTCATTGTGATATATATATATATGAACACTCGACTATCTGCTACTTGCTCATTCGATCTCTTCCTCTCTCTCTCTCTCTGCTTGCGTTTTAATCCCATACTAGTGCTGCCATTCTCGATTCGGGTGTATATCCTTCCTTTTTTTTTTCTTTGTATGCGTGTGAACGCACACACATTCTTCATCACCCAGTTTTTTTTTGTTCGTTCTGATGATATACGACGAGAAACAAGGAAAAAAACTGTGTG